GGGTTTTTGGGGGGTGAGACAGATACTTCAATACACGCTGGCTTTCTCCACTAGGAAATCTACTCAGCCTCCTTCCCTCTAGTCTCTTAATATTGCTGTGGAGAGAAGACCTTCCTAGCCATCTACCTGGACTACCCCAGGCCTCTTCTAGATCATCTTCATTTAGTTAGTGATTTTCAGAAAAAGAAGTCTGATAAATTTAAAAAGCTAAGCATAAAAATAACTGTAAACCAATTAATAGTATTAGAGACTTGGAGGTCCTAGAAATCCAGTTTAGATATCAAACTCATTGGCAAACACCTTTACTCACTGGGCCATCTCTTCAGCCCTTGTCTCTCCAAGTCTCATGTATTATCTATAGCTCATATGTACCATGGTAACAGTTACATAATTTTCAGAGTTTATATGGCCCACAAAGGCTAAAATATTTACTACTAGGCCCTCTATACAAGGTTTGTAGATCCTGACCAAAAGTATATACAAAAAACTACAATCACCAGGGGATGGGAATCTAGTGGGAAAATGAGCAAACAATGCAATGCAAACAATACACAGAAAAAACAAAAATAACTCAGTAAATATTATAAAAAAGAGCCATCATGGTATTATAGACCTGTATTTAATCCCAAAATTTCGAGGTGGAGATAGGAAAATCAGCAAAAGGTATGCCACAGCTCCAAGGCAAGTTCAAGGACAGCTTGGGCCGCGTAAGATTCCATCAAACCTGTACTCACTCATGTGCACATATCCACGTACAGACACACATACAAACATGCGATTAAAAATAATAAAAATAGCCGGGCGGTGGTAGCGCACGCCTTTAATCCCAGCACTCAGGAGGCAGAGGCAGGCGGATCTCTGTGAGTTCGAGACCAGCCTGGTCTACAAGAGCTAAATTCCAGGACAGGATCCAAAACCACAGAGAAACCCTGTCTCGAAAAACAAAAAAAAAAAAAAAAAAAAAATAATAATAATAAAAATAAATCTTTAAAAGGGAGTTTAACTTAAACAACATTAGGAAACTCATCAAAAATTAAATCATTTGGTAATATCCATTTCTGAAAATGTTATGACATTGTTTTGGAAATTTAGTGAACTTGATGTTAACCCAACCGTTCTATTTTTAAGTATCTGCCCCAGAGAAATATTTGCATTCCTGCACACACACACCCAACCAAAAGTTAGACAGGCACACTGGGCTGGAGAGGTGGCTCAGTGGTTATGAGCACTTGTTGCTCTCCCAGAGGACCAGGGTTCAGTTCCTAGCACCCACAATAGGTAGCTAACAATTGTCGGTTAAATCAGCTCCAAGGGATTCAACACCTTTGGTTTCCATATCCATATCTACATATTGAGGCATGTATACGTGTGTATGCCTACACACACAAACACACACACACACATACACGCATGCACAGGTTCCTACACATAATTAAATTTAATAAAAATAAGTCTTTTAAAATGACATTTAAGCCAGGTGGTGGTGGTGCACGCCTTTAATCCCAGCACTTGGGAGGTAGAGGCGGATCTCTGTGAGTTCTAGGCCAGCCTGGTCTACAAGAGCTAGTTCCAGGACAGGCTCCAAAACTACAGCAAAACCCTGTCTCGAAAAACCAAATAAATAAATAAATAAATAGGCATTTAATGGTCAAAAATTAGTGAGTTGTATACATATATAAATGTGTGGGGACATATACATTCCACAGCACACATATCAAAGTTACAGAACAATTCTATGGACTTGATTTCTCCTTCTACCTTTATGTGGGTTCAGGAGAAAGAACTCAGGTTACCAGGCTTGGGCTTGCACAACAAGCACTTTTACCTACAGAGCCATCTTGCTAGCCCTACATTCACTATTGACCGCAGCAAAACTCAGCAGCAGTTTGAGTGTTCATCACTGAGGGAATGGGTTAAATTACAGTCCGTCCCTAGGCCCATATGGAAAACAATTTTATATTTCAGTTATAACAACATGAAAAGGAGCACTAAGTATTGTCAAGCAGAAAGAAGTGCACTGCAGAACAAATACAAACACAGAGCTCAGGCTTACCAAGGCTGAATGAGGGCAGATAAGATGGCTCAGCAGGAAGACACTTGTTGCCAAGTCTAATGACCTGAGTCTGATCCCTAGAGCCATGATAAAAGGAGAGAACTGACCCACATTGTGGCAAATAGATGCCCGTACCACACCATAAATGTTAATTTTTTAAAGGTTTAAATAATATTTCAGTCCACAAATATGCAGAAAAATGCACAAGAGGCTTGAAGAAAAATGTCACCCGGGGAATAGAGGCTGAGCAAGAGCAGCATCTTCTGGGTTAACCTATCACAGGTCAGTCTGAATTCCAAGGCAGGGAAAGCAGGACTCCTTGGCCCCAAACAACACTGTTGAGCACTTTCTGAAATTCAACTGCCCTGATGTGCTCGCTCATGATGTGGCTGCTGTAGACCCTTAAGAGAAGGGGACAAAGAAGGCACTTAAGAATCCATGCTATGCTCCTGCAGCTCTTCCCCTTCAGAGGGGCAGGCTTTTCTGCAATGAAAGGAAGTGGCTAGTTTTAACTGACCTCCAAGTGCTTCCCAGGTCTGATGCCACAACATAGGCAGGCCTGGAATAAGTTCCCTACCTCTCCAGGGGAAAACAAATAAACAAAACCAACAGCTGAGGAAATAAAGCTTAAATCAGAAGACTCAGAGGAATGTGTGCTCCTGGGAAGATGACATCCTTGAGAGCAGAAGCTGTCCCGCCGCCCTAGACTCACATCCTCAACTATTACAGAGGGGGTGGCTTTGATGATGGCTGATGTATCTTCCAGCTTGGACAGTCTAAAATAAGCTCTGGGTGGGAGGGGCAGCAGGAAGCAGGGGACTGGGGGGAAGCTGACAGGAACCAATTGGCTGAGGTTTTCCAATGGAGCCATAAGGAGAGCAAAAGGCTCTGGGAGAACCGGATACCGAGCAGCAACAAATGCTGCTGGCAGGAGCCTGTAGTCTCCCTGCTCTCCTTTCAAGAGCAGTTTCTTCCTGAAAGATCCTAGGAGGTAGAAAGCTGGGCTAATTAATCTTTCCCCACACAAATAGCCCTACTCATTATTTTAGGAACTACTACTCCAATTGTGCCCTGGAGGTCTCAGGCCTGTTTCAAAACCTAGAATTCTACTTTGAAAATAACATAAGAGTCCAATACATTCGATTTGTCTCATCCCTTAAGTTTAATTAATAACAGATTTTTTTATTTTAATATTTTAGACTCAAACAGTTAAATTCCACCCATTCATCTAAATTTAAGAATCAGAAGAAGGCCCTGTGTAGCATAAATATCTAATTACCAGTTTGTGTGGTTGCTTCAAATAACCTGGAAACTTACAAACCTCCCTCAAAACAGCCTTTGCCAAGTCCTGAAACTTCTTAAATCAGAGTTGACTGTTCAATGGTGGTTTTTCGGTTTGTTAAATTATAAAAGGGAAAGCTTAATGAAATCTATTTCTTGCTTTTCATAATAGTTCTGTGGGAGAAGTAAGTCAGTAATCACTATTACCAGTTTACTGATAAGGAAATTAAAACACACAGTTGTAGGAGATTTCTTCAAGGTCAGACTTCAGAAAGTCACACCAAGACCAGAAGCAGTCACCTCATAAATCCCATAAACTGCTTCCCAGAACAGAGTTCAGATGAAAAGGGGGATCGCAGTTTCTCTCCTCAGTTCTGCCCTTCCCAATCACACAGGTCTCTAAGGCCTTGGGTGTCCTCCCAGACAAATGACTGAGACCTGGAGAATCTGGTTAAGCTTCCTCATTACTTCCTGGCTATTGGAAATCTGACCTCAGAGAAAGATGCCATAACCCTTGCCCTACCACCAGACTCTGGTTTGCCCCATAAAACAAGTCAAACCTTGCTTGCCCGTAAAGGCATTAAAAACAGTCAAACCAGGCACTTCAAAGCCATGTTTTCCGTCTAAACAGCTCTTCCCAAAAAGGAGGGGCTACGAATAGGCGGCAATGGGCTGGAATGCATGGGGAACTCCGCTGGCATTCGGCAAGCAGAGGGCAAGCAGGTGCCGAGAGGCAACTAAAGAGTAGGGGAACGGTAAACAGGATGCACAGAACCTTCCCAAAGTGATGCAAATAAGGCCAGGAATCTTCAACACCAGAAGTCGGAGAGCTACCAGTTCCCAAGGGCCAACAGGGCCTGTCGCCCAAATTGAAGACCTTGTACCAACACAAATAGCCCAACTCCTACACGACTCGGGGATGGAGCCCTAGAACTGTGTTTTTCATGTCTGTGACTTTGACGCGGGCAAGACAGAGCTACTACTAACCTGATCCAAAATCCCGACCAACTGATAAGGACAGAAGGAGGAGGGAGTCAACTTTCCCCAGAATGCACAAATCTTCTCGGACTTCTGAGCCAGAGAGCAGAAACAGGAAGGGAAGCCCCAACCCCTCACCAAAAGCTACCCCTACCTTCAGTTCAAGAGCAAGAGCCACCCATCCCCATTTGGAGACACCCCACCTCTCTCCAAGCGCTGATGGTGACAGTGACTTAGGAGGGCAGGCTCTGTTCCACAAGATGGAAGCTGGTGGCCCACGCAGACAAGCCAATTCCTGGGACAGTCTGGTGGCCAAGTCTGAGTCCAGCCTCACGGACAAGAGTCTGGGGGTGGGTAGGAGAATCCTGACAAGCATCAAGCAAGCCCCACTTTGTTCCTAACCAGGGAAACCAAACATTTTTTGAGTCACCAAAAAAGCATGAATCACACGGCAGAGCTATGGGAACGGGAAAGGATGTTATTTTTCGGCATACTTGAGGATTTTCCCTTTGTCCCGGCTCTATCGATACTCTTCCCGCCCCCATTCCAACCCCATCCCCCAACTCTCAAGCATTTTTTGCCTGCTCCATTTTTATTTTTTCTTGGCCTTCGCAGGCTCCGCGCTCCTCGCCCGACTCGTACGCAGGACTACGCAGGACTCCCAGCTCCGCACCCCGCGGCAGCTCACCTGCGTCAGGTCCTCGTCGTTGAGCAGATGCGACTCGCGGGGCTTGAAGCAGTTCTGACACTTGCTCTTGTTGAAGATGTTGGCCTGAAATTTCCTGCACGGGTTTTCCTTGACCGCCGACATGTCGCCAAGCGGCCAAGGCGCGAGCCACTTCGGCCCAGCGCGCTCCCGGAGGTCGGGACTCAGCGCGGCCGCCGCCGCATTTTGCGCTGGCCGCCGCAGGCCCGGAAAGGCCTCCCCGCTCACGCCGCGCCCCGCTTGCTCGCCGCGGCCTCAGAGCGCGCGCGCCGCCTCGCGCCCCGCCCCGCCGCCCGGCCGCTGCGGGCCCATGGACGGACGCGGCCTCGGGCCGCTGCCTCCACCGCGGCCGCCCCCAAGGCGCCGGCCGGCAAGTCCAGCCGTCGCGCTCACCGGGCGCCCGCCGCCACCGCGAACTAACCGAGCGCGGCGCCGCGCGCACTCGGGGCGGGGCGGGGCGGGGCGGGGCGCCGCAACAGGCAGCTCCGTAGGCCAATGGCGCCCGCACGCTCCTGCTAACAAAGGAACCCGTCGGCCAATGGGAGGCGGGGGCGGGACCGGGAGCCGCGGGCGCAAGGTAACTTGTCCAGGCTGGGAAGGTGGAGGCGCTGGGATGGAACTTTCAGGTTTGGTGGACTGGCGCCGACGCCCGCGGCCTGACAGCTGCGGCGCTGGGCTGGGCTGCTCCCGGAAGGGCGCCGCGGATCTCCGCGGTCTCCCCGAGGGCCGCTGCCTCCCTCATAGCCTCTTTGCTGCGGCCTTCTGCCGCGCCCAGCCTGCACCCCTACTTTGTGCCAGGTCTACGGTCGACCCAGATGGCACTATTAGGGCTAGGAACTGTTCCAAGTGTTCCCCGTGGTTTAGCTCATTAAAGTTCCTCAATCTTTCCATAATCATTCCTGTTTTACGTGAGGAAACTGAGGTGCGCGGAACAGTTAAGTAATGATACAAAGTGTTTCCGAGATGATTACGTGACAGCAGCCTCAAGGAGCTATCAATTTTATTATGGGAGATGAGCGAACCCAATTTTGCTAGGTACGTAGTTAGCCACCTTCATTAAGTGCTTGCGGGAACAAAAGGCTCAGACACCGGGAATAGCTTGTGCAAGGTCACTTTGCCAGGAAAGGGACCCAAACTGTTACTCCAGGCCACAGCTGTCCAGACTTCCAGGCAAAAGGCCACTTGGAAAGGAAAGAACAGCGGAGTGCAGAATGGGGCAGGGTGAAGGGGGACAATCCCTGCTCCTTAGGAGAGTGCTTCCAGCCGCCCTGAGCTGGATCTAAGCAGAGAGCGTGCAGAAATGTTCCCAAGGTGTGCAGGTAGAGGTGGGGGAGGAGGAACAAGAAAGGAGAATGTGGTCCCAGGAGTCTGGAGGCATATCTAGAAGGATGGAGAGTTTGAGGTCAGCCTGGACCATAGTGAGACATTTCTAAGGAGTAGTGGGGAGGGAGGGAAGAGAGAAGGGTGGGAGGGATCCTTTAGGCCTGAGATTCCAAACTCAGCCAACTGGCAGTTAGGAGTCACCCTGAGTTTTTACCAGAGGCTGAGCTAACTCATTTTTTTCCCCCGGTGAAGGTGATATTGGAGCAGGTGGTAGCAGTGTGGAGAGCAGCTGAGCTCCGGCGGTGAGGAGCCTTTAGAGGAGATGGATGCCTTCAGAGCTGTGTACTTTTCCACTGATCAGCTGGTGACTACCCAGGGGAGGTGTATTTCCATTTTGAGGAAGAAATGCTTTCCTGCACAAAGAACCAGGAATGAAGGAACCCAGGTCAAAGTCTTCCTACAGCCTGAGGGGAAAGCCCAGCTCTGATCCAGCTGTGGGCAAGCCCTTCCCCTTGGCTGGTACCTCAGTGCCCACACATACAAAAGTGACATGAACATATGGTGTGGCAAGCATTAAGTGATCATAATGCTTGCAAAAATATTTCACATAGTATGGCCAGTCATGTTAATTGGTGAGTTTTGTCAAAGGGGTATTTACTGCACTATTCTTGCAACCTTCTTGTTGGCTTGAATTTTTCCAAAAGTGAAGGGGAATGAGGAAAGGGAGACCGGCAGCTCTTGTCTGCACAGAATACTCAGAAAGCGATGCCAATGGCGGCCTCTGGGGAGAAGAACTGGGTTATTGGGAAGTGACCTACTTTTCATTTTCATTATAAAACCTTTTTTCCTCCTTTTGGGTTTTTGTTTCATGTGCATGTACAACTTGTTTAAAAAGAAAGACTTAGACCAGCAAGATGGCACCGTGTGTAAAGGCTTTTGGTGCCAAGCCTGATGAATTGAGATCGATCCCCTGAAGCCGCACAGGGGAAGTGGAGAACAAACTCCTGCAAGCTGTTCTCCGACCTCCATACAGGTGCCGCAGTGTGCCCCACTCGCGTGTACACACACACGCACAAAGTAAACTTAAAATGTAGTTACAATTTTTCGAAATATCTTGGGGCCAGTCAAGGCTACCCTATTAAGAAAATGCTGAGCCAGGCGGTGGTCGTGCATGCCTTTATTCTCAGCACTCGGGAGGCAGAGGTGGGTGGATCTTTGTGAGTTTGGGGCCAGCTTGGTCTACAGAGTGAGTTCTAAGACAGCCAGGACTATACGGAGAAACCCTCTGTCTTGAAAAACAAAACCAACACAACGAGAGAGAGAGAGAGAGAGAGAGAGAGAGAGAGAGAGAGAGAGAGAGAGAGAGAGAGAGAAGCAAAATAGCCTATCTTCTGAGTCTCTTCTGCCAGGCCTGCCGGGCACTACTGAAGTCACAGCTGTGGGTGTGAAGAAGAGTGATTCGGGGATCCTGAGGCTAGTAGCCTGACAAGAGCTGTACTTCAAGCAAATGGAGACTCATGGAAACAAGAGGCAAACAGACACTTCCACTGGGAAGTTGTGGGGCCCTGCCTGGGAAACAACTCCTGACTCCATCGTAGCCACAGGGTTTAGGCTCCCGGAAAAGGCAGTGTCTTGGACAGTAAGACTCGATCTGGAGGAGGAGGAAAGACATTGCAGACCACTGCAGCAGGGTGACGGGCTCAGGACCCCCAGACCAGCCTGCGGAAACAAACAGAAGCCTGGCTGTCACTAGGGTGTTACAGATTCAAACTGTCCACGTGGAGGAGACATTGGGAGGATGAGTGAGTGGCACAAACTCCCTGAGAAGGCAGGTATGCTGCTGCTGGTGGGTAGGTACTATTACTTCATGACTATCTGAAAGAAGAGGCCCACTGGGTTCAGGGCACACTAGGTCCTTGCCTGTGGTGCCAATTAAGTCAGTACTTTGCAAGTGAGAGTTCAAGTCTTCAGGCTGACACCACCGTCACCTGGACAGTGAAGAGTGCCAAACTGGGTGGTACCCAGGGCCTTAAACATGCTGAGTAAGTGCCCTGCCATGAACCATGTCCCAGTGCAATTGTGGATCTTTGGGCTAGGCACTTATGTAGGGGCCCTTGGTCTGGGATATGAGTGGCAAGCAGAAATTTAGAAATGGAATCCATCAGGAAATGATTATGAAAGACCAGACAGGACAGAAAACGAGGCCAGAACTAGAACAGTTATCAGTCGGAGATGCAAGGAATGAAATTGGACAACACTGAAGTGGATTAAAATTCCAGTAGCCTCAGCATCCCTAGGGCAGAGCGGGGGCAGGCTTTACTACTGAATTTCCCCACCTAATTCAGTGCCTAGTACCCAGCCAACTCCTAGCCACAACTGAATAGGTGAGAACATATTATTTCATCATACCAAACTATTTCCCTTATCCGATTATAAAATCCACCCAGCCAGATTTGAGTCTCATAGCTTTGGGTTCCCTTTTTGGAGGCCTAGAATACAAACATTCATTAGGCTATAGACTTAGAATTGATTCATTGAGGGTTTAGCTCAGTGGCTGAGCACTTACATAGCACGCATAGTATTGTAGATAAGTAATGTGGTACACTTGGGAGACGGAAACAGGATTGATGTGAGTTCGAGGTCAACCTGGGGCTTCTTAGAGAGTGCCAGACTATTCAGGGCTATAAAACAAAACCCTCTCTCAAAACAAGGTGATTCAGGCCAGGTGTAGTAGTGCACACCTTTAATCCCAGTGCTGGAGAGACAGAGGCAGGCTGATCTCTGTGAGCTCAAGGCCAGCCTGGTCTACAGGGCGAGTACCAGGACAGCCAGGGCTACTTAGTGAAATCCCGTCTCAAGAACCAAACCAAACAAAAAAGACAACTCACTACATTGCTTTCAGTGTGATGTATACTATATACCCCTAACAAGCGAGCAGGCAGACAAGCAAGAAAAGGCCTCTCAGGTGGGACCCAAGGCAGTTGAGTCTTGCGTGTGGTTCTGACTATCACCCTTGAAAGCCTCCAGGGAAGTAGCAGAATTTACACAAATTTACACATGCTCACATGAAGGTAACCACTATTTTGTTCTCCACCATCTTGCCTGATCTTGAACTTGGTATGAGTGAGGGTCTGCTCAGTGCACCTGGCTTTTCTCTCTTAACATTATATCTGTGACATTCATATGTCCACATGGAGACTGAGTATCTTATGATCAAATGCCTAACAAGAGGCAACTTAAGAGAGGAACGGGATTTTTTTTTTTCCGAGACAGGGTTTCTCTGTGGCTTTGGAGCCTGTCCTGGAACTAGCTCTGTAGACCAGGCTGGTCTCGAACTCACAGAGATCCACCTGCCTCTGCCTCCCGAGTGCTGGGATTAAAGGCGTGCGCCACCATCACCCGGCAGGAACGGGATTTTTGTTGTTGTTGTTTGGTTTGGTTTTTAATTCACAGTATGTGGCTACAATCTCTCATGGCAGGTATGACATGGCCAAAGTCACTGCTGATGACCTTAGAAGCAGGTGTGTGAGGCTGCCATGTTCACTTCTCCATAGAAAGGAAGATTAGGGAATGCCAGACCTCTTCTTTTCCCCGTTTTATTCAGTTCAGGATCCAGCACATAGGTTGATGGTGCCTACCCTCGGGTGACCAATCCTGTGTAACCTGCATGGCTTTGGAGTGCCCAGACTACGGCGATGGATGATGACCAGGAGACTGAATAAAGGACAGAGTCAAAGACACATGTACAGAACTCTAGGCTCAGGTGGGTTGCTCTGATGGAACACACTAGCAGCAGCCTGGAAACTAAGTTTGTTGTATACATCTGGATCGTGGCTTTATTACATACAAGGAGGCGAGCTTATTGTATACAGCTAAAGGAGGACTCAGGTTTAGTTCATCTCAGAAAGAGGTTTCAACCTGTAACACCCGGGAGAAGGAAAGCTGTGGCCATACTTTCTGCATACATTGGTTTCAGCCAAAGGTCAATTCTTCAGCATTTGTACTTGGACCAAAGGAAGGCTTTGTCATTCCTCTGAGTCTTGCTCAGGGAAGGGTTTGATATTTCCATGGGTCGCTGACATGGCCATTTTTGAGTTAACACTTGGCCACTTCATCCACTCCCCACACTTAGGGACCAGTTCTCACACCTAGTCCTCTCTGGAAACACCCTCGTAGACACACCCAAAGTGTTGCTAACTGATGCCCTACACATTTATTAATCCAACCAAATGACAGTGGAGGTTAGCCATCATATTGTATGTCAGTCATTTTTTTTTACATTGCTTCCTTGTTGCCCGTTGTGCAATTTACCCAAGCTCTGGTGGATGGCTGGCCACTGGGGATGTTCCCACATGGTTATGCACGTATGAGGGATGGGCTCTGTTCTCCGCTAATAACTGATCATAGGATTCTGGCATTTATTTATGTGTATGTATATGTGCCATATACATATATGCACAGGCCCTTATATGTGAAGATCAAAGGACAACCTTGGGTGTTGGTTCTTACGTTTCAAGTTATTTGAGGTGTTTGTTGTTTACAAATGTGTACACACTTTGGTCATCCTGGGGTTCTTCTTGCTCCATCTCCCAACTCATTTCCGGCTAATTGAGATCTTCTTTTTGCTTTTGTTTTGTTTTGTTGTTGTTGTTGTTGTTTTTGTTTTTCAAGACAGGGTTTTTCTACCTAGAACTTGCTCTGTAGACCAGGCTGGCCTTGAACTCACAGAGATTCCCCTGCCTCTGCTTCCCGAGTGCTGTCATTAGAGGTGTGCACCACATCGCCTTTACTATATGGCAGTCCACCAAGTTTTGTGTGAGTTCTGGGATAGAACTCAGTTCTTCACATTTTTGGAGTGAAGACTTCTCAGATTCTGACTTTTTAAATGAAAGTACCCAATATTCCTTATCTTCTAGTGTCTCTGGAAACAGTGGACAGAGCTTTGGTTTTTGAAGGCCAGGGCATTTTTAATAGTCCCCATTCAGAGCCCCATTCCCAGATGTATTTATTCAGTTAGTGTGAGCAAAAGTTCCTCTGGGGATTGAGTTGTCTCAGAGGATTCCGATCACTGCATGAAAGAGGTAAAAAGGGATGAGGCGTTGAGGTCAAGGAGAGCAGGATGCCTCCGTTGGCTTTGGACTCTCGAAGCCGTATTCCCCACTAGTGAGCACAGTGTCTGTCTCACTCTTCGCCGTGGCTTCACTGTCACTCCTTTGAGAGTTGCCAGATTCTGCCAACAGGTTCTTGGGTCTTGGAACTGAGAGTGTTGGGAGACAACCTTTTCTTGGGGAAATGTGTACAGCCCTCTACTCACCCCAGATAGGGAGCCCACGATAGATAAAATATGGATATACTTAAGTCCAGCTTGGTGAACCCATAAATTTTATTGAAGTTACTTACAAGAATATGAGTGGAGGGTCATTTGCAGGAACAGAAATAACTCAGTGGAATTGCGCCACCAAAGCCAGCTTAAGTGACAGCTCAAGGAAGCTGGAAACCTGGAGCACCGTGCACAGTCAGCTCGGCAGCTGTCCTTCCCAGGCAGCTCAGCTGGCCTGAACCTCTTCCAGGCAGCTCAGCGGTTCTTTGTTTCTTCTAGGCAGTCTGGCTGGTCCCTGCGGCCTCTAGGTTTCTCAGCTTGTCTCAGAGTTTTCTCTGCTTGTCTGAGAGTGATTGGCTTATATACTCTTGGGGTAGGAGTGGCCTAGTGAATCTGGTCAGTTTCAGGAACTTCCAGAAGCTGTTTTAAATGGGTTGTGTTCTGTGCAGGATGGAGTGTTTCACTCTCTTTCAAATGGAATATCTTGTCGTTTCACCTCCTTGTAAATACCCTGTCCTAAAATAGCTTATTTCGCTTTCCCCTTACATCGAATGTCTTGAGAAGCTTTCCTCCATTACAGAAGGTTGTGGTCTGGGAGGTAACTGTTACGTAACAAATAGACTCTTTTGGACAAGATGGGGCCGGGTCATGTGGAGGTTGAACCTGGAGCCTCAGAAAAGGCACAGCCCCTCCTCACAGTCCAGAGCACTTTCTTTTTCCTTTCCCTCCTGTGCTACAGATCTCAGAAACCCCCAAAGTGGCCTTGGAAGGAAGAAGACAAAGTTCTCTGGAGATGAGCCAGCCTGTGGCACTCTGAAGTCCAAAGTCAGTCGACTATGGCCCAGGCCTACCTAGTCTTCAGGTGGGAGGGCTGGCCTGGTGTGAATCCCCAGGGGAGGCTCTATAAATAGTGGCTACTTCTTTGGATCGTGAGGACTAGTCATGCATGAAGGCATGTGCCTGTAATCCCAGCATGAAGGAAGTAGAAGCAGAAGGGTCAGAAGTTGAAGGTTATCCTCTCAGGTATATGTCTGTGAAGAACAATCTTTTCTCTGAGAAGGCTAGCTCAGCAAGGGCCAGGATCCTACAAACCTCCCCATCCTGTGAGCCTCTGTGTACACGCCTGTTTGCCCAAGCCCTGGATGCCAGACATTCCTGAGATTTGACTCCATCACACCCTCCCCTTCACGCCAATTATGAATCATATCGAATCTTGAAGTCAAGCTCCTACCAGTGGAATTAGACACAGTCACCACCTGCTGTAGGATAAAAAAAAAAAAAAAAAAAAAAACGGGGTGAACTTCCTGCCCCAGTGTGGCTGTTCACCTGGTTTGGGTCATTGTACACCAGCGTGCAAAAAGTAAATTGCCTCAGTGAGTTCCTCTGCCTATGTTTGTGTGTCTCTTCTTGACACTGGGAATATTCTGTTCTAACACAGAATTCAAAGCCTGCGTGGGCTACCTGAGACGCTGTCAACAAAACAAATAAAGCAAAACATGTGACCAAAAAGATTGTGAGAACCAAACAATTTAATGGGCGCGTAGGAGGTTAGCATCAGCCCCGAAGCACATGAACACATTAACATTTATTATTATGCCTCTGACTTGACCTTGGCTACACTGGCACCTTTCTTAGGTGTTACTTGTTTTTCAAGAGCCAGTTGTCAAATATCTTTTGAGCTTTTTTAGGCAAAATAGTTTCTTGCAGCCGCTCAGCTCCTCCAATAAATCCACATTCATTGATGAGACAGCTCCATAAGTGTCACTGTGATCCAATCAACGTTTAGATATGGTGACCATAGTGAGCTAAGTTAGGTCCTCTTTCTCCGGTGCTCTCCTCTTTTCCTCCCAGTGCACAGATGAGGAAACCAAGGCACAGAAAGGACAAGCGTCATATTCAAGTGACCTTCAGGTGCGGGAGCTACTGCACACTCTCATGGGTGGGGACAGGCTGCTGAAACTGAAAGATCTCAAAAGTCCTTTCAACTGGAGTGGGGAATAGCAGGGAAGGGAGCTTCTCTAGAGCAGAAAACAAATAACAACGCTTTCCAGATAGGCACCAGGAGAGAGCATCACATGTCAGATACAGAAAGTCTATCCGGAAGAGAAGTTATCTGTTCCGTTGAACTCTTATATATGGACCCCTGGATTTAGCAATGCCGCTTCTAGAAAGATAGGTTGTAAAACTGGTTTCACAAGCAGAGGAAGAGATTCATCCTAGGATGTTTATGTTTTCCTTCCTTTCCTTCTTTTATTTTCTGTCTTCTTTGTTTTTTAAAAAGTTGGTTATTATTTATTTTTTTAAATATAATTTTATCTCTTCCCTTTTCTCTTTCTTCCCTCTAATCTCTTACATGTTCCCTTCCTCCAACCCCTCCCATGTCCCTCAAACTCACCAACTCCCCTCAAACTGATGGCCTTGTTCTCTTTGGTTGTCCTTGTTACATATACACAATATACACATAGAAATATAAATACAAGCAGCTGAGTCAATTTAGTGTTGTTGGTGTACACAATTTCGGGGCTCACCGCTTTGTATCGAATAACCAATTAAAGGGCTCATCCCTGGGAAAGACTGCTTCTGCCTCTTTCAGCAGTCAGTAGTTACCCTGTTCTTTGTCTAGGAGTGGGGTTCAGTGAGATTTCCACCTCCCTGTTAGCCTGTCTATTTGTCTTGCATTGCCCACGTCTTATTTAAGCAGCCATATTGTTGAGGTATCCTGAGTGTAGCTTCCCTGTTATTTCTAGGAGATACAATCGCGCCACAGACTTCCTGATCCCCTGGCTCTGATAATCTTTCTGTTGGTCCTGACCTCTTCCCTGAGCCTTGAGTGCAGGAGTTGTGTTGTAGATGTAGCCAGTGGGGCTGGTTGCTCTGTGAGCAGTTAATCATAGTAGCATTGTGGCCAGCTGTGATTTTCTGTAACTGTCTCCATTTGCTGCAAAGAGAAGCTTGATCAATGGGAATGAGAGATGTGCTTATCTGTGACAAAATAATTAGTTTTAGCAGTAGACATTATACTAGTTAAGTAAAGTTGGGGGGTCATAGGTAGTAGAAACTTAGCCCCTTGTATTTGGCTCTGTTTCCAGTACCAAGTAAGATTTTCCTCCTGTTGAGCAAGCCTTAAGTCCAATTTAGAAAGCTGTTGGTTACTGCCAAGATATGAATACCACTATTGCACCTTTAGTGCTATCTTGCCATGCTGGTCATTGTTGTGGTTCATGGGTGTAACAACTGGATAGGATTATGATTATTTCTCTTCCTTAGCGATTTGTATAGCATTCTGCTACTCTGAAAGCTAGACCACAGAAGGGAGGCTTTTACATATTTTGTTGGGAGCTAGAGAGATAGCTCAGCAGATATGAGCACTGGCTGCTCTTTCAGAGGTCCTAAGTTCAATTTCCAGCAACCACATGGTGGCTCACAACTATATATAATGGGATCTAATGTCCTCTACTGGCATTCAGTTGTACATGCAGACAGAGCATTTATATAAATAAATATTTTGCTTATTGCTATTGTATGGTGTGTGTGTATTGTGTGTTGTGTTGTACATGACTAGAGATCATAGGACAAGTCTGTGAAATCAGTTCTCTTTAAAATGTATTTTATGTGTATGTGTGTGTGCTGAGGCTATGTATGTACACCACATATGTACAGGGGCCCATGGAATTCAGAAAAGGTTGTCATGTCCCTGGAACTGGAGATACAGATGCTTGTGAATTATGTGGATGCTAAAACCCAACCTGGGTTTTCTGCAAGATCAATAAATACTCTTAACTGCTGAGCCATCACTTCAGCTCCTTCTTCCATGGATGGAACTCTGCTCATCAAGTTTTTGCAGCAAGCATTTTTACCCGACATCTTCTTGGTTTATTTTTTTTTTTTAAGACAGGCTCTTATATCCTATGGTCAAGGCTAGTCTCAAATTTACTATATAGCCAAGACTATCCATGAACTCCCAATACTTTTGCCTCTCCTTTTCAAGTACTGGAAAAATAGATATGCAGGCCTGGTCTTTCTTTTTTTTAAAAAATTTCTGAGTCAGGGTCTCATATATCCCAGCCAGGCCTTAAGTTTGAATTGTAGTTAAAGATGACTTTGAATTTCCAGTCCTCTGAAATACTGGGATTGCAGGCATGTGCCAGCACACCTGACTTATATGATGCTGTGGGTGTAATCCAGGACTTTGTGCATGCTAAAACAAACACTCTACCAACTGTTCTAAATCCTTAGCACTACCTTTTGGGTTTTGAGACATGATCTCACTTTGTACCACAGACTGGCCTCAAACTTGCAGCAATCTTCCTTCCAAGGACTTGGATTACAGGCATGAGGCATCCCACATGGCTTTCATTGTAATTTTTTATATTTAAATGCTATTATTATTGTGTGTATGTGATGTTTATGTGGGCATGCTCATGCCACAGTGTATGTGTGATGGTCAGAGGACAACTTTTGAGAGTCAATTCTGTCTTTCCATCATGGGTTCCAGGCAGGCTTGTGGCAAGTTCTTTATGTTCTGAGTTAGCACTTTGGGCTAGCTCTCATTGTTTTCTTCTTTTTCTTTCTTTCATGTTTTAAAAGATTGATGCATCTTATATATGAGTGCTTTGTCTGCATGTACTTTATGACAGAAGAGGGCATCAGGTCCCACTATAGATGGTTGTGAGCTACCATGTGGTTGCTGGGAATTGAACTCAGGACCCCTGAAAGAACAGCCAGTGATCTTAACCTCTGACCCATCTCTCCAGCCTATTTATTATTATTATTTGCACATTTGCATGCATGTATGCATAATGAACATGTAGAAGTCATAGGACAACATTTGGGAGTCAGGTCTCTCACTTCATCATATGGTTCTGGGGATTTGAACTCAGGTCCTCAGGCTTGGTTGCAAGGAGCTTTACCTTTCTGGTTCTCTCATTGTTCTTTTTTTTTTTTTTTTTGAACTCTCATTGTTCTTAATAACAGGAAACTGGAGAGACTCTAATAGTCTGTTGTTAGAGAATTAGATAAGCAAGTAGTTCTTTGATACATTTGGAGAAACTTGAGAAAATAGAAATAGTGTTGAAATAACCAATGGTCAACCAAATGCTGTGAAGTTAAAAGTAGTGGAACCCAGGCTTGGTGGTATAGGCCTGTAATTTCAGTGACCTAGGAGGCAGAGGAAGGACAATCACAAGTTCAAGGTCAGTCTGGGCTGTGGAGTGTTTGAGGCCAGCTTGAGTAGCTGGTTGAGAAACTGCCAAAACAAAGCAAAAACAAGAAACAGACTTTAAAAAGGCTGATAAGTAGCTTAGTGTTAGAGTGCCCCTTGTGTTAGGAAAAGAATAATCTCACTGTTGCACAAAGGAACACACAAAATAAAATAATTTGACAAGACAATTTCATTTTGCAGCAAAGGTATATTAGAACCCAAACGGGGCTGAGGTCAAGCTGGGTCAAAATGACCTTTGTCTTTTATCCCTGACATAGGAGGTGACTGCATTGCACCCCATTGGTGGGAGCTCAACATTACGATCTGACACAATCAATAGTCAGTGCAAGGGGATGGGGTGGACTCAGGAAACAGGGGCCCTTGTCAGGCTAACTACCTTTGATAGAAAAAGGTTGTTTTTTCTCACAATTCCTTCCTCTTTATTATGCATTTTTCAAACTTAGCCAGCAATATTGACCATTTGAACTCTCGAGTAACTTAATTATTGTTATGGTAAGTGGTGACTTAAGTATTATTTAAAATGATCCTACCTTCCTAAAGATGGTCCCTTGTCCACATGGTTGACCTTGTCCAACTGTAATATGAAGTTTTCCATCTTGGCCAGAGATTCTGTTCTCTTGACCAGAAAGTATTTTCTCTTAACAGACCTTTATTTTTATTTTATTATTCTCCTGACAGGAAAGTTAACCCTAGCATCATTTAGGAACCAGATCAGAGAGCAAGGCCCCCAAAACACTTTTGGCATTCTGGTCTCTGAAAAGATGAAGCTACCAAGAAGTCCAAGGACACATTTTGTTTTTAACCTAAAGAGAAACTGGCTATTTTTCTCTGGAGTCTTTTTATTCTAGACTAGTCCATTTTTTTAAAATCATCCCCACCCCCTATTACTCTAAAGAAGTAATCCTAATTGCCATTATAGAACTGGGACAATTCTTGGCCTTGTTTGATCTATGCATTTGGAAGCATGAAGAAAAATGTCCCCTTCGTTGGTACTCCTCTTTGTAGACTGAACACTGATTAGAGTTCACCGGGTAGGGTCTCCATGGCTTCCCTGAGCAGGAGACTCCCCACAGTTACAGGACATTGCAAGAGATGTCCCATAGTTTCATGGGACCTAGTTGACCTTGGAGAGCAAGGGGAAATATTTTCCTCTTTTAATACTTCTGGCCACATCATTATAGGCTTCCAAATATGGTTATTGAACACCCAGAAGGTCAGTTATACCAGTCTGCTACTTTTAACT